ACGAAGGCGGGGTAGAGAGGGGTGACCAAGGCGGTGGTGCCACAGGAGAGTGTCGTGCGACAGGCGACGACACTCACACTGGGTAGCTACCTGAGCGGACGCGTACAGCTGAGGAGACAAAGGGGTGTAGCGCGACGCAGACGCAGCCAGGTGGCGGCCAGTCCGAGAGCACGTGCAGATCGCCACACGCTGTCCTCCAGGAGTAAAGGTGTCAACCCAATGATCCTGAAGGACGGCGTTGCTCACCAGGTTTGTAGAGAACGAGGGGATGTGGAGACCTGACAGCTCACCAGACGGGACCGCCGGACACGGGAGCACAGTACTGGACCGTGCAAGCACTGGGCCCCCAGAGGGGTCAGCCAGTGAGACAGGGACAGGTGCAGGGAGGGGAGTGACTGTGGTGCTGTCGCGAAAGAAACAGCGGGAAGCACCTGAGTCAAGCGTGAAGGTGTGCAAAGCCTCAGCAGGCGCAGTACCAGGGAGAGCAGACTCACTAGCACCTAGGGCTGCAGTCTCTATACCTGGGTCAGGCGGCACACACAAGTAGCAGTCACCCTCAGCACTAACAGTCAATGCATACATAGCAGCAAGAATCGCATCATAGTCAAGATCAAAGATAGGAACATCACGCCTAAGCAGGTCTGCCCAGTTGGGGAACTCAGTAGCATCAGGAAACTTGGTGCGCCAAGCGTCGCTAAGCCTAGCGAAACAGCGGTACTCAGTGTGAAAGCCGTTGCATGGGCGACCAGCGCGGGGACCGGCGCGAATGACATAGGGGCAGCGACCAGGACCCCCAGACGCCCCACGCTGAGCGTACCAGTCATGAAGCTGCTGAGACATCGGGGTCTGGCGCTGACGCTGCTGCTGCTGCTGCTGCTGCTCTGGCTGCTGCTGCCCCTGGCCACCACTGGAGCTCCCCTTCTGGCCGGCCGCACTCCAGTCCCCACCTTCGCCACCACTACCGCTGCCTCCTCCCCCGCTACTGCCGCTGCCTCCACCACCGCTCCCGGTCCCACCGCCGCCCCACCCACCGCCTCCACCCCCACGGCCACCCCCACCACCTCCACCACCCCCGCCGCCTCCAGCACCGCTCCCTCCACCACCACCTCCACCACCCTTGCCACCCTTGCCGCCCTTGGTGCCGCTGCGCTTCCCACTAGGAGCGGAAGCAGCTGCGACCTTCTCAGCACCGAGGAGGTCGACGGCAGCAGCAGCAGAGGCGTAGGAGGGGGCAAGAGGGGAGGGGGAGCACCCCTCAAAGAGGGGAGTGCGAGGAGTGCCACGAGCAGCACCTACAGCGAGGATGTTCTTTTCTGCTGCTAGGAGCTGCTGCTCGAAGTCGGCTAGAGTGAGAGTGGTAGGGTCTTTGGCGAGGAAGTGGTCCCTGACTGAACTGAGAGTGTCAGGGAGGCGGGTGACGAGGATGTAGAGGGTAAAGTACAACGGGAGCGGGGGGTTCTTGGCGAGGAAGTCGTCAGCAAGGGCGGCACGAAAGCGAGCGTCACTAGCGCGGAGGTGAGAGATAAGGTCCTCAGCGGTGGCAAACGAGGACAGGTCTGGGAACAGGTAGGGCAGGATGAGACGACCTACGGCTGCAGTGGCTGGGGACAAATAGCGCGCAACTACAGCGTCATACAGTGCCTTAGCAGTCTTGTGCTGGCTAAAATGCGCGCGCTCAGTGATCGGCAGATGATTGCGAATAGCAAGGCGCGCAGCAGCATCGCGAGTCAGCCACAGTGGGCGGTCAAGAGCAGGAGCAGTGTCAGCAGGAGCAGCGGCAGTGCCAGACGCGTGATCGAACAGTGAAACGCCGTCTTTTGCATCAGTCATAAGAAACAGTTGCAGGTCGTCGAGCCAAGTGGCAAACTCGATCGGGCTACCGTCAGGCTCAAACGCGAGAACATTAAGCGTCGCCATAATCGCAGTGCAGGTGAAGGCAGCAGGCAAAGGCAGTAGGCGAAGGCAGCAGGCAGAGGCAGCAGGCACAGGCAGCAAGCAAAGGCAGCAGGCACAGGTAGCAGGCAAAGGCAGCAGGCATAGGTAGCAGGCAAAGGCAGCAGGCAAGGGCGGCGCGCAAAGCAGCCGCAAGCTGCGCGTGGGCTGTCTGGGCGATGTGCTAGCAGCGCAGGCAGCGCGTGGGTGGGGTAGGCGGCCGCGGCAGTAGGGCTGGCGGCGCGTGGGGCAGCGTGACGGGCGGCGCACGGGGCTGCAGGGCAGCGCGGGAGGCGGCGCAAGGGGGGCCGCGGGGCAGCGGCAGGGCGCGTGCGGGGCTGTAGGGCAGCGCGACGGGCTGGCAAGGCGCGCGCGGGGCTGCGGGGCAGCGCGACGGGCGGCGCGCGGGGCTGCAGGGCAGCGCGACGGGCAGCGGCAGGGCGCGCGCGGGGCTGCAGGGCAGCGCGACGGGCGGTGCGCGGGGCTGCGAGGCAGCGCGACAGGCAGTAAGGCAGGGTAGGGCAGTTCGCGGGGTAGCACGGTAACCGCGAGCGGTTGGTGGTGGGCCCTAAAAAAATCGATCCTAAGGTCCTAGGGACCTCCTGCTCTGAATACCATGTCAGAAAGAACTAGCAGGAATGGATGGACTAGAATGAAGTTGGGTACAAATATGAAACCCTAAAGGGGGCTATACCCCATATTGGCTACCCCACTACAGCCTACACATATATGTTACGTATATAATTTGACACTCTGCAGGTGTAGGGTAAGGTGATCTGAGTACTAGAAACCATTATTAGAAAATATGTGCTAGTACTTCAGTCCTACGTGTCATCACCGTGAATAAGATAATGTTGAAGCTAAGACTGTATTGGAGCCATTTATGTATATACGAAGTTATTCCTCACGGGACTCTGTTGCAAACGTGCAGTAAGGCATGTACCCTCATTGTTAGGAGTTGCTCGAAGAGAGTGCGCGGAATACCGTAACAGACTACGAAGTTGTAACAATGGAGGGATGATACATTGAGAAGGACAGGATAATATAGTACCGGTAGGTGAAACCTAGCTAGGCAGAAACCTTGAAAGTTCGATGTTGGGTACATGTTGTTAATGAGAAAATGAATTATTACCGTAAAGAGGGGAAACAGGGTCCTAGGTATACCGTCATCGCCCGGATATAAGACAGTGTTGAATAGAAGACAGGGGGTGTCTATTATCCGGGTGTCTCTTATAAACGGGGTAGCCTCATTATAAGACACATAATTGTGTGTACGAGTTAAGCCAGTATAGGGGATAGGGGTAATCGTATAACGAGGGGGTATCTTCTAAACAGGTATTTGTCCATTTATAAGACTTATAAGATGTCAAGATAGTAGACTTAGTAGCCTAGGGTTTGGGGTAAGACAGAGTTGGCCAAAGAGGGGTTTGCATTAACAAGGAGGGTACAAGAAATACGGTAGGAAAGTGGAGGTGGTTGTCAAGATAGGAGATTAACTAGGAGGTAGGGCTTAGGGTTTGAGCCAGGCCCTCAGATTGCAGGAATTTTACCATGATTTTGCCTTTGAACCCTGATTTTCAGGGTGTTTTTAGGTCCCAACCCTGATGAGAAAGTTTTTTTTTTAATGCCTACATTGTTTTTTCAGCTAACTTTCTTGTACCAGGCCTGAATTTTCAGCCTACTTTTGCTAGGGGACCCTGATTCAAATCATACAGTAGTGGGGCCATCCATGTTAGCGAAATTGCCTAGATTCAATGAATCTGCCAAAATTTTTGCCCAAATTTTCGCCGTCACCGTCAATCACGTGAAACGGCATCTTAGGGCTGTTTCCTACACCCCCCTTATCTACATCTTGTCATACTCGCCTCAGACACCATTTGTTTGGCTAACCGACTCTTCATTTCACGTTTTGTTGATTGGCGAAGTGCGAGACAGAAAGCGTGGGGTGACGTGGCACCACGCAAAGCTCCCGAAAGGTTGTTGAGGAACATTCCCGACTGTTTCTTGCGAGCACTTGTCTGATAATGTGACAAAACAGAGACCTTTCTTAGCACATGCGATTGCCTAACCTGGACCACCATTGCTGCACCACCATTGTCTCCCTCCCCCCGTTCCCGTCACATTATGATGAAGGCTGGTTACATCAGCGTTATAAAATGTACCAGCCCTGATGAGAAATATTTTTTTTTTTATGTGACAACACTGATTTTCCAGGGTTTATTTTTGTAACGACCCTGACAGAAAGTTTTTTTTCTTGGACCAACACTGATGAGAAAGTGTGGCCCAAAACGAATCTGAGGGCCTGGTTTGAGCTTAGGACGAGGGAAATTGGAATGGCCGAAGAGGTTCAGTAATGACGAAGGGTACAAGGATATAGCACAGGAGAAGACAATGGTACACCACCTACAGCAAGTGAGATACACTACAGTCTGCACTACAGACAGTTATAAAGAATATATAAGTATATTCTAACACACCCTCTAAGTGCCTGTAGTGAAGAGGTTTCTGCGCAACACCCCCTGAAGGGGTACGCCACACTGGAGTGGAAGGAGAGGGCAAGCGAAGAGGAGAAGGGACCATGAGGAGAGGAGGTGGTGGGCGGCGGCAAAGCTGCTGGCATACGGGCAACTGGAGCAACTAGTACACGGGCAACTGGAGCAACTGGCACACGTGCAACTAGAGCAACTGGCACACGGGCAACTGGAGCAACTGGCACACGGGCAACTGGAGCAACTGGCACACGGGCAACTGGAGTAACTGGCTTTGCGGCTAGACGAGCGGCTGGAGCAACTGACTCACGGGCGACTGGAGCAACGGGCTCACGGGCGACTGGAGCAACGGGCTCACGGGCGACTGGAGCAACGGGTTCACGAGCAGCTGGAGCTGCTGGCCTAAAGGCGGCCACCCCTCCTTCAACCTCCCCCCCATTACCCTCCACCCCACAGGTGCAGGCAACCCTACCGCCACTTCCCCGACCCCCAACACCCTTCCCCCCCCCCCCCCTTTCTGCTGCACGCGCAGCAGGGAGAGGGAGAAGAAGGGGGGCGGGGTAGAGGCTGCACTTGCGGCTACAGATTCGTGTACAGCTGCGTGTGCAGCTGCGCGCACTGCAGCCGCCACACGCGCAGCTGCGCATAGCTTCGAACGCGCGCAACTGCACTGCGCGCGGGTGCTGCTGCGCGTAACGAGGGGGGGGACGGGAAGCGGGCGACGGGGCCGTGGGCGACGAAAGGGCGCGGGGCGACGGAGGGCCGTGGGGCGACGGGGCGTCCGGCGAGGGTTGCAGCGGCGGGGCGACGAGGCAGGGGGTCCGCGCGACGAGGCGGGCGACGAGCACCACGGACGCCGTCCCGAAGCACGCGCGAATCGCGTGTGCGACGCACGCACCCAAAGCGCGCGCAAAACGCCCGTGGACCGCGCATGGAGGCGAGCTCGACGCCATCAGCTCGCGGACCTGCTGCAGCAGAAAAATAGGCCGCCATCGGAGATGGCGAGTTTGGTGGGCCCACGAATATTAGGTCCTAGGAGGGACCTGCTCTGATACCATGTCAAGATAGGAGATTATCTAGGAGGTAGGGCTTAGGGCTTGAGCTTAGGACGAGGGAAATCGGAATGGCCAAAGAGGTTCAGTAATGACAAAGGGTACAAGGATATAGTAAAGGAGAAGACAATGGTACACCACCTACAGCAAGTGAGATACACTACAGTCTACACTACAGACATCTATAAAGAATATATAAGTATATTCTAACAGTGGTCAAGGGAGGTATACCACCTAACAAAAGATATGATGATACTACGCTACTAGCTAGCGATGCAATTTTATAAGAATACAATATTCTCACATCCCCCTTTAATTGCATGCTAGTCTAGCTAGTGTAGGGGCTCATCTCGAAGCACTGACGTCACTGCGCCGATAGCTGCTCCCACCGCCGAGTACGGTGGAATGCCCGCTTGCGGGTGTGTGCAACGAGGAACGACGGCGCCCAGATACGACGGATAGAGAATAGACAAGGAAAACACATGCAAATCTCTCTCTCTCTCTCTCTCTCTCTCTCTCTCTCTCTCTCTCTCTCTCTCTCTCTCTCTCTCTCACTTTCATCCCCCTGAACCTCTCTTATCCCCCCCTTAACCTCTCTCCTCCCCCCCCCCCTACAGCAACTAGTGCTGCGGGAAGAGAGGTAGAGGGAAGGGAGGGACGGGTTGCTGGCGGGTCACACCCGCCACCCCCACATCTCCCCCCCCCTCACACGGCAGAAGCCGCGGAAGGGAAGGGGGGGGGGGGGCGTACAGAGCTGCTGGCACTGGCGTCCGCTCTGGCGCAGGCGCTGGCGCTCGCGGATGACGCATGCGCTGGCGCTTCGCGGCTGGCGCAGGTGTTGGCGTACGCGCTGGCGTTGGTCAATGGTCGCTGGCGCTCGGCTGGCGCTCGTCGCTGGCGGCCCGCGGGGCGTCGAAACGGCGCGGGGCGACGAGGGGGGGCCGCGGACGACGGGACGGCACGGAGCGACGAGGGGGGGGGGGGGGGAACGACGGGACGGCGCGGATCAGCGAGGGGTGTGACGAGCGGGGGATGCGACGGGCACAGCGTAGGGCGACGACGAAAAGGGACGGGCAAGCGGTTCGGGCGCGACCAGGCAGAGCGCGACGGGACGGGACGGGCAGGCGCCAGAGAGCCTTAGCGGGTGCTGCAACAACCATGTCTTTCAAAAAATTAGGTCCTTGGGATGAACCTGCTCTGTACCATGTAAAGATAATAGACTTAGTAGCCTAGGGTTTGGGGTAAGAGAGAGTTGGCCAAAGAGGGGGTTGCAATAACAAGGAGGGTACAAGAAATAGGAAAGGGGAGGTGGTCAAGGGAGGTATGCCACCTAACGAAAAGATATGATGATACTACAGTACTAGCTAGCAATGCAATTATTTAAGAATACAATATTCCGACATAAGACACAATAAACCGTCCCAAATACAAGACAACCCAAGCATTTTTGCCCGTGTACGAGATAAGACATATATGTCTTATATGCGGGCGATGACAGTAACAAACCTATACACTCTACGACATACACCCAGCCTAAAGGATACACATTAAACCAAAAATGTGTACACTAACACACCCTGTGGGCTAGGTACAGGGCAGTGCCTAGCAACTCAGGGCGGCAGTTCTAGTCCAGACTTTGAGACAAACAACCACAAGGCCAGTCAATCAGTATACATAAAGACGAATTCATATACAGTACAAGATACAAAGACAAAGAAATGAACAAGTGAGGTTCCCCTAGGACAAGGCCAAGCTATGTGCAGAGCCAACGATGATGATGGGACCCCTCATGCAAAATGTACTACGCGTGTCTGGCCGTAGCAGTAGGAAGTGCCGCAGTTGAATGTGCTTCGCTCTGTCTTCTAGTCTAGGTTTATAATACAGAAGGATCATGCTGGCTCTGTACCAGCAGACAGGATCGGAGCAGAATTATGCAGCTTACATAGTTAGTGAGCAAGATCATCAGCCAGCTGAGCTTTGGAACAGCCATACTACCAACGTACTTTTTCGCCTCATAGCTGGAATGTGCTATCGACGACGAGCGAGTAGACCTCCATAAAACAGCCCTGGCGCCAAGACCGAAGAAGTGGCACTAAGAGGACAAAATAGTATTGAAGTCATCTGTATATGATGTGTCAAAGTGTCCCATAAGTGGAACTCGCTAACGTCCTTCAAGCACAAGCCGCTTGCCTAATGTACTAGCCAAATAACGCAACAAACCGAGCAAGGATGCTAAGAGGATATGTGCGGTCTCGGCAAGTGCAGGTCATCAGGTACATGAGGTACCCCAATAGCTCTGCGTATATACCATTGGGCTCAGAAGGCTTGTCAGGCATAGAAGCCGAGAGTGTATAGCCAACAGCTAGAAGTATGGGCTGTGTGGAGAATTGAAGGCTGAAGCGTTGAAGGATCTGCTGCACCATGTGTGATTGAGTAAGAGTGATGGTGCGTGTTGCTTTGTCTGTAATGATCTGCAAGTCAAGGCAGCGGGGTAGCTCCCCTAGGTCAGTGCAAGTGGGTCTCATCAGTAGCTCGGCCTTCACTGAGGCCAGTGCGACCCTGTTTGGAGTTGCAAAGACCAGGTCGTTAACTTAGACGAGAATGTAGAACGGAGCGAGCGAAAAGAGAAGGTCAGTAAAGGACGGGAAGAAACAAAGGTCGGCCAGAGTAGTGCGCAACGTTTTGTGCCACTCAAGAGGAGCCTGGCACAGACCGTAAACAAACCGCCGAAGAATCCCCAATGTCCCAGAAAGGAACAGCCTTGTGAAGCCAGCTGGACGGCGGAGCCAGATCTGCTCGTGCAGGCTGTCCTAGAGAAACGCAGTTGAGAAGTTACAGGAGTGGAGCTCAAAGTCGCGCTGCGACGTGATGTGCTGCAGTAACTGAAGAGTGCTCAACTTTGGGGTGGGGGAGAAGGTCTTAAAGAAGTCTACCCCCTCTTGCTGACTAAGCCTCGTACCACATAGCTAGCCTTCACCTTGAAGATCCATATGACATCGACAACGTTCGCCCTAGGAGGAAGAACCGCGTCGTTGTAGGTGTCAGTGGAGCTCCAAGATGCCATCTCTGCGTCCACTTAGAGGCTCATGGTCCTGAAAATGCCTTAGCGCGAGAGCAAGGAGTCAGGATGTCAAGAGCGTCTGAATTGCCCTCAAGAGCTAGTAGCATGGCATAGAGATTAGGAGCACCAGTCGCAAGGAAAGTCAGCTCGAACTGCCTGTTCTCTTGAATTTCATCGACAAGGGCACGGGCACCCTTGATAGATGGAGGATAGGCAGGTACAGAGACCAACTGAGTGATGTAGTGGTGGAGGCAAAGGCAAGGACAGCAATGATACAGTAAGAGTACACACAAACTAGGGAGGAGCAGTAGGTTCACTAACAAGGGAAGGAAGGACACAGGGGATTGTAGGGCTAGCGGCTTGGAGGAAATAAGATAACGGTTGAGAAGAGACACAAGGGGGACGAGAACGGCGGAGAATAGGGTGAATTCGGGGAAGGGGAGATGTAGGGCGAGCACCAGGGGGACGATAACTCTAGGGGTGGGTTGCAGGAGTCGAGTCAGTAGACAGAGGGGGAGACAGTTCTGAACGAGGAGGATAACTAGCCGGAGACATATCCAATGGAGGCAACAAATGGTACATAGATGGATTTCTACAGAGCAACTTGAAACGTTGATAGTGGGTTGGTTATTGCATCAATTGGTGTGCTATATTATGGTTATAGAGTGCCTAAATGTCGTTTACAATAGGCAAGTTAAGTTTCTTGATGCTTTTAAGATATGACGACGTGATGTAAGCGTGAGCAAACGGCGTTCCAGTAGCAACTACAATCTTAGAGAACAAATTAGGAAGAAGTTCGAGTTGGACTACAAACCACAAGAGCCGAGGTCCAGGGTGGTGGGATAGTGCCACACAGTCCCCAACCACGCATGATCTCAAAACTACGCACCATAAGGGCATCATCAAGAAAAATATTACAGTACACAATGCAATGTAACTATTTTCACTATCTTCATGTTTACCCTATTGGCAAGTTCTCGCCTGACAAAATCTCCGTGACCCCGCTGCTGCAAGGTCAACGGGAACTCATCACGTGGAGGAAGGCTATCGAGCCTCAACAGGAGATCGCCGGGCTGAAGAGTTTCGCTGACAGCATCGTGCTGATACCGGACGAGGACGAGGTCGAGCTACGCGGGGAGTTTCGCTCGGCTCACTTGCTGACCTTCATGGTCATCTTGAGTTGTTGCTCCTCGGTGGTGCAGATAACGCTGAAGCCTTGCCGACAGAAATTGGACGCTAGCCACCAGGCGTGGCAATTCATCTTGTCGACGTACCAGGCGACGGGCGACCTGTACATCGGATAGCTGGAAGAGCAGATGACACACCTCCAGATGGGCGAGGAGCACTCGGCGACGGACTACTATAACCGTGCTCGACATATTCTTGCCAAGATATGGATGACAGGCGTCGATTACTCGATGGCGTCCTACATCACGCACGTTGTCAAATGCTTGCCGAGCGGCTACAACCTGATGCGTAGGATGCTGGTGGTGCCCAGCACGCGTGAGTCGCTCGATGAGAACACGCTCACCAAGTATATCATCAGAGATGAGGCGATGCAGGATGCAGAGCGTCCCACGGAGCTCCTTCCGCAGGCGAGCTACGCCGCCCCGACAAAGCAGAGTCGTCAGCAGGGGCTGGGCAGCAAGCCTGGCGGAGGTCGCAGCAGAAGTGGGAAGTTTACGAAGGACGTCAACGAGAAGAAGTCGGCTCGGGGCAGCGGTCGAAATGGTGGTGGTCGATGGCGGGAGTGCTGGGTCTGCGGTGACCCCGACCACCTCTCCTTCGAATGTCCCGACCGCGACGGAAGCGACGAGAAC